ACGCCTGCCAAAAAAGTAGCTTCCATTACATACAGACCAGAAAGGGTGTTGATTGACGCCGCAGTCAGCACAGTTTATGTTGGACCACGACGACCTTATCGACGACGGAGCAGTGAAATCCGAAACAGAATGAACATCTATCGGCGAAGGGGTACATAATTAGGGAAACCATGTTTATAGTCTCAGTTCGGAGTATATAAGTTATTGTGCTCCCAATGGGGTCACATATAATTGCCTTGGTCTTTCCGTACGTCCCTCTTTCCGTAGGAAATCCGATGCATTCAGAAGTTTGCGGCACAGTTCCCTATCACAATCGAGAGGCCAGTACTCCACTGACAAGTGACACAGAACACTGAACATCACCCCACCGATACAATTTGCTACTATTTACAATTGTATAAAGCTGATTATGAATTTATTCACACTATACCAAATGACTTGACCGTCCTTAAAAGATAGTGTTGAAATTATTATTTATCCATAAAACGTTCTAATTTTATTTAAACTTTCAAACTTAACATTGTCTCTTTTACGTTACACGTGCGAGCGCGCGCGTGCGTGCGTGCCTACCTGCCTGCTTGCCTTCAGTCAATGTCATTCTTTTGTAATGAGAGAATTGTGTGTATGTATAGGTCAGGATTGTGTCATACGCCAACAGGGCGCGATATAGGCAAAACACTAGCCCAGTCGTGGATAACTATAATTAACTGACATCCATGCAAAATATCTGCAACATATTCGACCTAACACGACCCGAGTCTCCATGTAGCACACCTATGACATAGCTTCGTATACACCACGCCTATCGGTGACCTAGTTGTGGGCAAAACACTTCAATTCTCGGGGAATAGATGTTTACGTGTATATTGTTTGTCCCAGGCGGTGTGTATATTACCACGCAACTACACAGGTAATCTAGGTATGATCTGGACACTTAATGTATTGCATTACGATTACGGAACCGACATATTTCAGGAAGTATGGTGTTCTTAGTAACTCAACCATTAAACTCACTTGAATACACACAATAAATAGTGCATATCATGCACGACGTGCACAAAAGGTGTCACCAGGCATATATTGATTGATTGATTGAATAGGGCGGTGGTGTAGGACCACCTTGTCTATTTCTGTATCTCAGTTTACATGTGTTTTCGTCGAAACCAGATTTAAAAGGATTTACTATATACACATAATATGCTTTTACAGTGTCTTTGAACCATGACATGTAACTTTGATAAGCGTTACGGCGCAGCATTGGTGGTGTTTTCTTTGGCAGCAGGGGCGGTGGGGTAGCCTAGTGGTTAAAGCGTTGGCTCGTCACGCCGAAGGCCCGGGTTCGATTCCCCACATGGGCACAATGTGTTAAGCCCATTTCTGGTGTCCCCCGCCGTGATATTGCAGGAACATTGCTAAAAAAGCGGCGTAAAACTAAACTCAGTCAGTCAGTCAGTCAGTCTTTGGCAGCAATCATGCACCTACAATGATCCTGGTCACTGACAGTGAGGCACTGAGGCATTATTCACAGTAAAATTATCTGTGGTAATGCAGAAACTGCAATGTTCAGATGTGACACTGCTATTCTTACGAAAGCCCTCTCTCTCTCTCTCTGTGTGTCTCTCTCTGTCTCTGTCTGTGTGTGTGTGTGTGTGTGTGAGAGAGAGAGAAAATGTTTTTTTAATTTATAGTGTTAACATTGGTAATAACCATTCATTTTTTCTGAAAATCACAATAGCTGATGCAGAAATTACTCTAGCTTCATCCGTGAAAGATCTTAGAGTGTTCATAGACCAGGACCTATCACTTGATGCTCAGATCAACCATCTTTCAAGAATCTGCTTCTTCCACCTGAGAGCTATCAGTAACATTCGTCATAATTTAACAACAGATGCAGCCCATACTCTCATCAGGTCCCTCGTTCTATCTAGACTGGACTATTCAAACAACATTCTGTTTGGACTCAGCTCTGCACACTTGACAAAACTCCAGAAAGTCCAAAACGTTGCAGCCCGCATTGTATCCCTAACATCTAAAAGATCTCACATAATCCCTGTCCTAAAGTCTCTTCACTGGTTGCCCATCCAAGATCTTGACCATTGTGTTCCAATGTCTACATGACCTAGCACCTCAGTACCTCTCTGAACTCATCTCAGTGTACACACCGCCGCGACAGCTGAGATCACACCAACAGTTCCTCCTAACAACACCCCCTGTCAATCTCAAGAACTACGGTCACAGATCATTCAGCTATGCTGCTCCTTCACTGTGGAACAGTCTTCCCATAACCATCAAAACAGCAAAATCTCTTGACTTATTCAAATCTTCATTGAAGACCCATCTTTTCAGGAAATATTACGAATGACTTGTACAATTGCTGCAGTTGTTTTTTAGCTGTACACACGGGGCGCCATGAGCATACACTAGTGTGTGGAAACGGCGCCATACAAGTGGACATTATTATTATTATTATTAATTACCACTTTTGAAACTGGTTATTACCACTATATGTTACATACATCAACTGACACGCTCTGCATACAGCAGTGAGGCACGAAGACATTATCTACCGTAAAGTTCTCCATAGTAATGCAGAAACTGCAATGTCCAGGTGTGACACTGCCATTATTGTCCAGTCACTGACAGACATGCATACAGACCCTGAAGCAAATATATCCATGAAAGCCCAGGCAAGTCTAGAAAATGTGGCAAATCTAGATTTCCACAGCTTTAGGAATGAAGAAACTCTCAGGGCTCCATTTCATTATATTTTATTACTTTTTTACTATGAGCTTTTTTTCTGTAAAATATGTTCATTTCAGAGACTAGTTGTTAGTCTAAGTGAGGCACGAAGACATTATTTACCGTAAAGTTCTCCATAGTAATGCAGAAACTGCAATGTCCAGGTGTGACACTGCCGTTATTATCCAGCAATGAACCTGGGTCCTTATTCTCGAAACGTTCGTAGTCGTAAGAATTTCTTAACTTTGATCGTAGCCAGCGTGTTAAGAATGGGTTTAAGAAGTTTGTAGGGCTACGAACGTTTCGAGAATAGCTAGCCTGGTCAATGACAGTGACTGAGGCCTTGTTTACCGTAAAGTTCTCCATAATAATGCAGAAACTGCAATGTCCAGCTGAGACACTGCCATTACTGTCCAGTCACAGACATGCAAGAAGACAATATGTCGTGGCACGTCCTCTACAGCAATGCGCATACTTACAGAGTTCAGCTTCAACACTAGCACACAAACAATACTCATTGTAACACAGAGTCATTCAGGAGTGACTACCTAATTACATAACATAAATAATTGGATGAAGAACTCTGGGTTTTAATATGTATCTAGGAATGTTGTATTGTAGGTAACCTGTTTCACATTCTGCAGTTTTGGGCATAAAATGTCTGTGCTAAGCGTTTCATCAGAAATACAACCCCAACCAAACTAAGTCACACACCTGTCATGTAAGAAAGGCTAAAAATATCCAACAATACTATTATGACATAGAATGAAAAAACACCCTAAAAGGCTGTTGAAAAGTGGGAGTAGATTAAATCAAGTTGCTCTTATGCAGCTGAGGTGAAATAAGACAATTTAGATCACCATTCATTCAAGTATTGCAAGCACTGCAAGGCCCAGTCAAAATGATCCTAGTCACTGCAATAATAAACTATTTTCCAAAAAGCTATCTATAGTAATGCAAGCACTGCAAGATACACTGGCAATCTTGCACCAAGAATAATAGTCAGTGAAATTATTGCAATAAGAAACTATTTACAAAACATATCTATAGTAATGCAAGCACTGCAAGATACACTGGCAATCCTGCACCAAGAATAATAGTCAGTGAAATTATTGCAATAAGAAACTATTTTACAAAACATATCTATAGTAATGCAAGCACTGCATGGCACACTGTAGACTATTGCTTAGTCTCTGAATATACATAAGTTTGATAGTAACAAACAAGCCCATTTAAATTAAAAAGGAGCCCCAGGGAGACCAGAGATTCTGAACTTGAGGAAATCTAGACTTGATTTATTAAGGGCTTTAGCACTGCAGATACGGCTAGGCAGTAGGGAAAATAATGTGGTTCAAGGACTGTGAGACAGACTAGGTACACTGACATTCTTGCACCAAGAATAATAGTCACTGAAAGATATGCCATAAGAAACTATTTACAAAACATATCTATAGTAATGCAAGCACTGCATGGCACACTGAAAATCTTTCACCAAGAATAATAGTCAGTGAACTTATTGCAATAAGAAACTATTTACAAAACATATTTATAGTAATGCAAGCACTGCATGGCACACTGAAAATCTTTCACCAAGAATAATAGTCAGTGAACTTATTGCAATAAGAAACTATTTACAAAACATATTTATAGTAATGCAAGCACTGCATGGCACACTGACATTCTTGCACCAAAAATAATAGTCAGTGAAATTATTGCAATAAGAAACTATTTTCAAAACATATCTATGGTAATGCAAGCACTGCATGGTGCACTGACATTCTTGCACCAAGAATAATAGTCACTGAAAGATATGCAATAAGAAACTATTTACCAAAAAGCTATCTACAGTAATCCAAACACTGCAAGGTACACTGACATTCTTGCACCAAGAAGGTACAGCTTCATCGCTGGCATTTTTGCACAAAGAATAAACCTAGCCAGTGCAAGTGATACAAAAAACAGAACACAGAAGTATTACATCTTGATAGTATGTCAGTCATTTGTATTATTTTGCAAACAATGGTGATATAGGACAGATATTCATTGACAACAAAGTATTGCATACTGGTCCATATGTAGCAAATATTGCAAATTTCGACCTCGGTGCCACTTACACAGCAGACGCGATGCGTAATGGTAAATTCCAACGTTACTAAATATAGGCCCACGTCGACCTTGAGAGCAGTGAGCTGTCGCGTCTGGTCTATTTATTCCGCGAACTGCTGTAATTCCCGGAAAACGGGGTTTTCCCCTTATCGCTTCATTGTCGGTCTGCGCAAAGCAAAACAGCGAGGAGACCGAATGCGCAACCATTGCAGCTTTAGACAGCGATAGCGCGAGGGACGAAGATCTCAAACACCCAACAGAAGCGGCGATTTTGTCTGTATACAACTGAAGGTAGGTGCACGTTGTACGGAAACATTATATAAGTGTAAACTTGTTTGAGTGTTACAGTTGTCACATATGTATTGTGCTTTACTTGGAGACGAACACGTTATTTATAGATGTCCCAATATTAGGCCAGCGATATACAAAGACCCGACAATTATTTGTCCAGCGCAGTGTATTTAATTGAGTTATAGCCACCAGAAAATTGCTATATTTTGTATTGAATCAATGCATAGGTACATAGGTTATATCGTCGTAAACTTTGCGTTTATGAATGGGCGTCAGATACTCTGTGCTCTTGTAACTTGTTGCCAGCAAGAACGACCGTGTATAGGTGAACTAGATAACAAGTGTATCCACACACTTGTCTCTGTACTAACTGCTACTAGGAAGCTAACTTCCGACACATTCGTGCTGGCAAAACCGTGAGACGATACTGTGCGAAAACCTTTTGCTTCAGTTAAAGTTTAGTTGCACATTTAAAGTTAAAGAGCACAATAACTAGACGACTTTGCACTATACCAAGGTGTGCTCGATGTAGGCCTTCGCTTGAATACGAGTTTATTTATATGAACTAAATCCTCTCTAGTGGACTCACACCAGTTCAATGTCTTGTCCATTTTGAATGTTTGACTGTTGTTAGTGTATGTGGTGCTGATGTGCACTACGGTGTAAATCCTCGAGTCGTCTGCTACAACTGGTACCGGCGCGGTTGTGTATGTGTATATATTTATGTATACATGTTTTGCCAAGAGACGTTAGTGCGCATGCCCCTGATCCACCCAGAACGAGGATCGATTTTATTCTCGGTTCAAAGTCAGAGCTAAGCAAGATTCGTGATCTACCAGCTATTGTAGACTCGCATGTATCTACTGATCACATGGTGACGTAAACATGTCACGTGATCTATGTACCCGTTTAATAGGATCATTTGGCACTTGTTACAGAAAACATCTATCAGTGTGACTGTCAAATGGTCTGGGTGTCTGTGGGTTTGAGGCAGTTCACTGAAACATGATCCATGCAGTCGATCACTGCACTCAATTTAAATATTAATTTTGAGAAGGATTTTGCTGGAGGTGGTGTCTGAGGTCGTGTGAGTGTTCTCTTGGCATTGGCAGCTGTTTACACAGTTACGGCATGGACCCAGCACTGTAAACATGTCGTCCGACCTCATGACCTCTGTTGTCATTTTTTGAGTCTGTGATATAACAATGGAGGAGAATGATATCCCACAGTCGTGGCAGATAAGGCTCGTGCTGCTGAGGATGGCTGTCATGAGCCATTCCAGGACTGAAGAGTAAGAATGATTGTAGTTCACGACAGACGAAAGTCATCTATCAGCAAGACTTGGTCAGATCTCTTTTTGATAAATTATTTTGGTGGACCTCGAGCTTATATATGTCGGTTTTATGTTACCTCAAACTACATCCACGTGTGCCTTTATATCCCACACTATCCCTATATGTGCCTGTATATCCTACTCATACTATCCTTGTAAGGGCCTGTATACCCACTCATACTATCCCTATATGTGCCTGTGTATCCCACTCATACTATCATTGTATGGGTCTGTATATCCCACTCATACTATCCTTATATGTGCCTGTATATCCTACTCATACTATCCTTGTATGGGCCTGTATACCCACTCATACTATCCCTATATATGCCTGTATATCCCACTCATACTATCCCTATATGTGCCTGTATATCCCATTCATACTATCCCTATATGGGCCTGTATATCCCACTCATACTATCCCTATATATGCCTGTATATCCCACTCATAATATCCCACTCATACTATCCCTGAATGTGCCTGTATATCGCACAACAACATATCTCAACATATGCCTGTATATCCCACTCATACTATCCTCGAATGTGCCTGTATGCCGACTCATACTATCCCTATATGTGGCTGTATATCTCACAACAACATATCTCAACATGTGCCTGTATATCCAACAACATATCTCAACATGTGCCTGTATATCCAACAACATATCTCAACATATGCCTGTTTATTACCCACGTGATCAACGTATGGGTAGTTGCATACTAATCTCGTACGTCACACGAGTGTCGTGTCGCGTTGACCTGTGTCGTAACGACTTGACCTGAGATTCTAACGATTTGATTGGATAACCGATGACCTCTCAATTAGGTCATATTCTGACGTAACTATTTTTTCATTCATAACAAACACCATTCTCTTCCCACAGAGGTTACTTGTCATATCTTCCTACGAACCTCTGTTCTAATACGGCCATATTTCCCGGTTCTCGTAAAATCCCCTAGCGGCAAAAGATCGCAACACGAATTATCTCCCTTCTTTCTATCCAATCAGAACACGTGTTACAAATGTGAGGCCACAAATATCCCCCATCTGCCGGGGACTTGTGTTGATGTTACACACAAGACGTTTAATGGCTAGCTTGTCCGTTGTCAACGAGGGCGATGGAGACGCCACTGATCCGCCATAACATGACTGAGTTCTGTCTAGAAGAAACGTTTGCGCATCGCGCAGGGGAAGAGGTTTAGTTTTCTCGAAGTATACGGAAATTACCGAGGCCTTGCGAATGATCACTTTTGAAACAACGTCGCTGATTGCACAACTAAAGCTGATTGCCTCAAATCACGAGTCTTGAACGCTCACACCATGAAAGGGCCGTATTAGAACAGAGGTTACGTAGGAAGATATGACAGGAGTAACCTCTGTGGGAAGAGAATGAACAAACACGTGAATTCATTCATTCTATAACTTAAATGCATTGTGGGAATGTAAACATTGCGAACGTTGCCGTGGCGCGGATTAATTGTGAGTCGAACTGAAACCTTATATCCGTCGAAAAAACATAAACGCAATGTTTCCACCAGTGATGTTAGCCGAATGAAGCAACTGCAAACCAAGAAACGGGGTGCTACGGAGTAGTTTACTGTAGGAGGCTGTACGAGGCCATGACAACTGCCATGCATCGTGACGTCGGTTACCAAGGCAGTGACGTCATTACAGTGTGACGTCATGCAAAGATTGTACTACAGTACAAAACTCTTCCGCAACCTCTTTATGAAACCGGTTTCGGTTTGAAACCATAAAAATATCAAAAGTACGCTATTTTGTCAATTTAATACATGTAAGACGTGGGTAATAAATAAAATACCACATTCGGTCTCATTACATACGAATTATACGAAACTCGTGACCTTCCTATAGTATCTGACCTCGCTTTCGCTCGGTCAGATACCATAGGAAGGACACTCGTTTCGTATAGTTCGTATGTAATGAAACCTCGTGTAGTATTCTCTATATATCCCATCCCAATCTGTCCCTATATGTTTCTGTCTATCCCAGTAAATCTGTTTACCCTACCCTAACCTGAAGCACACATGTGTAACCTATGACCCACCTGCACCTTGTGCTATCTGCATGTAGGAAAACTATCTTGGCTGATATATCCAATACTAGGAAGTTGATTTACCCATGTTATCTATATGTGTTGAGGGTACGCCAGCACTGAAAGGGGACACTGTATGGAAGCTTTAGTTGACATTTGGTGCTGCCTGTAGCTTGTCATTCACTGAATAAAATCCTAATGTGTGCTGCCTTGACTCGCACTAGCCCTTACACATTGATACACATGTAACCATTTCATCGGCATGTTCTCATTTCGCCTACAAATTCTCATTTCATCAGGCATGCACACTGTGGCATCTGGATCTCTTTTCATCAAACTTGCTGTGACTGTAATTTGTCCGAGCTAAACACCCCTTTAATGTAGAAAGTTGCGTGGTCCAGCGGTAACACTGTTCGCTCGTCACGCTTCACATGGGTACAGTGTGTTAAACACACAATAATACTGACAATACAGTCTCCGTCCACCAAGCACTCTGCACAATAGTAAATAGATATATCTGCTCCATGTTATTTAATTGTTCCGTGTTATTTATTTGTTCCTTGTACAACTGTCACACAGCTATTCTCGGACACAACCATGCTCCAGGTTGTATTAAGGACATGCACATGTTATGTATGACAGGATTAAAACTTTATAACTTTATAGGTGGTTTCGTTGTTTTTAGTAAATTGACACGGTGTGTGTTCAAAATAAAAATACAATGTATTCATTTATTTTTAATGTAATGATGTGGCCGTGTGTCAACTTACTTACCTTTATGAGTATATCAATACACATCCACATGGTATTTAAGCTGTAGTAACCATGTGCCTTCATGGCCGGTGTCATCCAGTGCGCAACTAGCCACACTATACAGAGCTGATATTTCCAGGGGGCGGTGGGGTAGCCTAGTGGTTAAAGCGTTGGCTCGTCACGCCGAAGACCCGGGTTCGAATCCCCACATGGGCACAATGTGTGAAGCCCATTTCTGGTGTCCCCCGCCGTGATGTTGCTGGAATATTGCTAAAAGCGGCGTAAAACCAAACTCAGTCAGTCAGTGATATTTCCAGATTCCTTAAAGCTTTTGAGTCCGCGTTGAATCACCAGATATATAGTTAAGTTTGGTTATTGCATGTTGTGAAAACACAGATTAAAAACTCTCTAAATTGTTGTTGAACAATATAAACAAAAAGTCTTGAGGGATATCCAATACAATTAGGATCCGGTTCATCATCTTTTATCAACTGAATGAATATTGCCAGAGAAGTAAGGTATAATTCCATCTCTAAAAACGACCCGTTTCAGTGAGTTAGTGAGTATGGTTTTACGCCGCTTTTAGACACATTCCAGCAATATCGCGGCAGGGGACACCAGAAATGGGCTTCACACATTCTAACCATGTGGGGAATCGAACCCGGGTCTTCGGCGTGACGAGCGAAGGCTCTAATCACTAGGCTCCTCAATTCTCAATCTCAGCATACAGTTTCTGCTCGACTGGACTCAATATAAAAGATTCGACATAAACCAGCAAGAATTTATTGTTGATTTGGTTAGAGTACGTTCACAGGTAAGTCCGACACGTGACATTTGCTAAAGGTAAACTTCATCGCTCAGGTTGAGATAAATTACATACATACCTCAAAATATTCAGTTTTCTGCATCTATCTAAACTGTCAGGGAAGATATACACTTGAAAACTTGATTCCACCAAATTACTACAAACTTTATCAGAACGTTACGATATTGAAACAGTCGCCCAAACACTGAAAACTTCAGGTGCAAAACACAACGATATCCCTATAAAAACATCACTATCACATAAGTCAATACAATCATGTTTAGCAAATAACCAAATGGGCAAGTACTTTCTTGTGCTTTAATGGGGTTGTTATGTTTAAGAAGTAACTGAAAACTAACGATTTGCAATTTGGACAATGATACTAAATTCTGTAGAAATATTGCCTCAGTAGGTTTAGAAGCCAAGAAGGTAAACGGACAGCAGCAGGAATTGAAGCAATACTTGGAAATAATTGATATGCAACACGTGACTGACACCAACCAATCACAATAAGCGAGGCACACATGTTTGAGCCTATAGGAGTAGATAATTCGTAGAAGAGTCGCCATTACAAACTTTAGAGGTTTGACGAGGTCTGCATGTCAAGTGTTGGACAACTTCTGTATGCTCGACATTGTGATTATGTTTCTTGGAAATAAATCTTACCAATTTGCTACGAAATCTGGTTTCTGAGACCCAGCAAGCAAAACTTGTAAACTTTGGAAAACTTACGAATTGAATTCACAGTTTGAGTATCACCAGCGAGCCATTAAAGTTTGGAGTGGTAAGAAATTTTTATGTACTTTTTCATCTTTAATTGGTCTAATGTAGATGTATGTCAGATTCAAATGCATTCATAGAAATTATTTAAATTGAATGATATAAAGACGGAAAGGCGACCAATATGATCTTCATACATGCACGAATTCATTGAGTCTGGTATTTGTTATATTCTAGACTATACATAAACATAACTTCGAACATTGCAGTAGTATTTTTTTAAATATAGGAAATATGCATCATCTTCAAGGTTTACCTATCTGTAATGTTATTCATAAGTAACACATTTATGATATACAAAATACTGATAATAATTCACAAACATGTTCTATTAAATCTAGCTATATATATATATACATATACCACAATTAAGATCACTGAGATGTCCTTATTGGTGTGATAAGTTAATTTATAATTTATATGAAGGAATTAATTCAAAATATTTTATAGATTATACCTTTCTTTTGTTTCGGTCTGCAGTTTCTAATTATTTTCAGATTTTATAATTTAACTCAAATTTGTTAAATGGAGTATTTCAGCAATTAATCAGAGCTGATTACGCAGGAAAATGATCTGCAGTAATTAAATGCTACATTCCTGATTTGTTTATACAAATAAAATACCGAAACATCTCAGGCGGTTTTCTTTCTTTATTATATTTCAGTTCGACAAGATTAAGTCAACTCGAACTGCCATTCAAATTGTTCTCATTGCCTTCTTATACCTCATGCAAATCAAGATAAATCGTTTAAACAAAATTGTGTAGTGTTATTTAATTATAAACATCAATATCTATAACACATTATCAATTATATAATATTTATGATAAATATAGAGGACGTGTGGATTGTTATGAAAAAAGGATAATTTGTCACACAGTTGGGTAATGAACATGTTCTTTGAAAAGAAAATATATGATCTTTTTATGTAATTTCTTCTATGTAAACTTGTATGTAAAATATTCTCGAGCCTACTCTGAAAAATTGGTGTCATTGCATTGTGAGATATCAGTTTTTAAGATAAATATTGTATTTTTTAGGACTGAAGCCATTATAAGTTCTTGTTGGCGTGAAAAGTCACAGTTGAAACAGGTTAAAAAGGATTGAACAAATCAGTTGCTAAGAAGTATAACTTTGTTGACGAACTGACACGAAAGAGCTCTGAAAGGTCGTTATATAAAGTAAAGAAGTATCTAACTTACTACCAAATCTCGGAACAGTTAAAAACAATTTGTTTTCTTTTATTTTGTATTTCATTTGAATACATGAAACATGTGACGTTTTCCAAACATGATTTTACTTCCATGTAATAACAAATAAAAACATCAAAGCCGCATGATCTAGCAAAATGGAAATATGAAATATTTTTGAGTAAAATGTGTAATCGATTTTTTTCGCATATCCAATTAATTTTATGAAATAACCATAATATATTTTATTGGTTAATCTTTTTATGTGGAAAAATCCAAGATGAACGGTTTCATAGGGCAGGGTCCCTGGATTGATTAGAAAAGGTATATGCGCCATTGTGTTTTCGTAATACATTATTGTGAAGTACCTGAAAATTAATGAAAACTCCTAAAACCACATATATAATCTGTTCAGTCGCATAAAAACTCTTCACTCGTTGGATTTTAATAGGAAAGACTATTTGTGAATCTGTACGAAAATAACTACATGATATTACGTTCAATAAATGTATTTTCGGTTGTTATATGTTGTTTAGGAGTACGTGGAAGTAACCACAATACGCACGCAATCCGTTTTATGAAATAATTACGATATCAGCATACAGGTTTGAAATGTATACCACCGGGCAATAACTAGTATGTACTTGAAAATTTGGTGTTGACCCCCAAATTACGAACGTTACTGGTCAGTCGTCATAACACTTTAAACTTGAAACTCAAACACATAAAATATGATATCATAAATGATATCAGATACGTTTGTTTTCTTTTTTTACCCCCATCAAACATGAGCGTATTCAATATTTTGCTTGGCGTCTATATGGGATATAAATGTCCATGAAAACGATGAAATTAATATTCACCGTAAGCACATACTTCATGACGTTAAAGAAAGGATATTCACCGTAAGCACATACTAGTCCACATATAATTAACATCTTCATGACATTAAAGAAAGGACAAGACAAATGATACAGCCAGTCAAAATGATTACTGTGTCTCCTATTCAGATTTGTAGTTTTGGTCTGAAGGTATTTGTGAAACGAGGACATCGGATAAACATCAATCAACCACTGAGTTATATTAATTCTAAAAAATGTTTCAAATAAATGTGTGAGGTGTCATACCAAATGAAGCAGTAATAAGAAACTGCTTTGTATACGTATATTATTCTGCATTCATCATTATGATATTAAAATTATATTGAATTTAGAAATATTCTTTATTTCGCCCATAGAGTGAGCACGCTTATGATGAAGGGACGATCGCCATTAAATATAAATAACTCAATTATTAGTTAATGTAATGGACCAAGCTGCATAAAAAGACAAACCAAATTCATTCAAATTTCAGATCAAAATGCCCAAAACGAAAATGACACCCAACCGCCACATCTCGAACGACGCCGGACGTCGACCTATTCGGCCGATTGATCGGGAGAAGATGCGTCCGTGGTTGGAACGACAGATCGACTTGGGGAATGTTCCAGATGTGAAGTGGGTCGACATAAACAAGACAACATTCGAGATTCCGTGGAGACATGCGGCTAGGCACGGGTGGTCTATCGAGAAGGACGCCTGTATTTTTGAACAGTGGGCCATCCATACCAGTAAGTTCTGTCAACAATGTGTATACCTCAGCGAGATGGTAGCACTCCAAAAGGAAATAACGCTTTTGTACCGTGAAAAACGAGCTTGAAGGATTGTGAAGATATATACTGGCTTGGCTTGTTTGTTTTTAACGCAAATATATATGCTGAAAAATGCACTGATTTTCTGAATGCGCAACCGACATACAGAGTTAAAAGAGAATGTCTGCAATGCTGATATTTGGCGATGATTATTAAAGATTTCTGATATTTTTTGTCAGATAAGACTAATTGATTCGGAACAGAAAGAGTTTGTAACAGTTTAAATTGTTAATAGTTTATTTCTTAGAATATTTTGCAAAACGAAACTTTACAGCTTTCAGTTTCGTCAGAATTTGTGGAAACCTTAAGTGACTGAGAAAAGAAAACGTGAACCCGCTTCCGAGAAAAAAGGGGGTACAAGTGATTGTAATGAGCCGCTGGAAATGGAAATTCTCGGAATTTGCTGAGATTATTTTATTGTATAAATACCAGGGAGACTATATAAGTTGTAGATTATCCCTGATAAATACGTAACAGCGTTGGAGCTAACAGCTCTCCCAGGTGAACATCAGTTTTCCATACACAGGTTTCTTCAGGGAGGATAATGTGTCTACTCTTAGTTTTGTAATATTTAAAGTATAAAGAATATTTCCATTTGTTTTTAATTGTATTTGTTTATTTTAACAGGGAAATATATTCAGGGGAAAGACAAGCGCAAGGATCCAAAACGATGGAAGGCGAACTTCCGGTGTGCCCTGAACAGTCTGCCCGACGTGGAGCGGGTCCCCGGACATCTGGCTAAGGGGTCCCAGGCTGTACGTCGGTACAGATTCCTCACCCCAGAGGAAAGCAAGAGGAAGACCGCGAAATGTGAGCATCTGGTGACAATTCGACTTCAGGGCTACTAACTGCAGTGTGTCATGACCCATCTCAGAATTCGGATTGGTGTTTTAAATAACTTCGTTCGAAGTTTATAATATAATTATGTTGAGCATGCTTTCCTTCGGATCATGTTTTGTTGTTTTTATAGATGGCTTAAATATGTCTTTTTTTATGGTACAACTGAGTCGTTTGTGAGATCGATGTGCCTTTACAAATAATGGTCGTGTTAAATTGTTACCATATTGTTACATTGTTTTGATCTATGGTCAGCAATATGGTATTTTATGGCTGTGAGCTTTTGTGGTCATTTATACTTGACTCGCATAATCGTTTTGGTAACTGATATGTGTTTTGCCAACAGCTCGCTCCAGGAAGCGAAGCCGAATGGACAGTGACTCAACGGAGGAAGAAGAGGAGGAGGAGGAGGTAAATGGATGATTGCATTTAGATCCAGGCAATGTTTACTATACAGAACATTAGTTAGTTTGAGTACAGCCACTTAACAGAACGCTGTCATGTGCTGAAATACAAATTACAAAAATGGAAAAAAATGAAAAGAGGAGGAATACACATTTGTATTATTATTCGAACTGACTAAAGGACAAAATACTTACACACTAAATGCTAAGAATTTGACTAGAAAGGCTAACTTTTTGTAGGTTCCAGAAAGCTCGGGTTAATTCGGGTACTGTAAGGCAGGTAATGCAAGAGGCAGTGCTCGAAGATGTTCTTGCAGAGAATTAAAAAACATTTCCGGTTTTCATTCACCATTATTCACGTTTGACAAATTACAACCGACATGAACAGCTTGCACGTTTGACAAAGGCTACATCGTCGACTTGTGCCGATTTGTAACGTTTATAACATGTGACTCTTGTAACCTTCTCAATAAGGCATGTAAACCTATACATAGCGAGATGGGATTCCAGAGCATGGTAGAATCAGCCAGCACCCCCACCCACTTTAAACGACAAACACAATGAACAACCATGACAAGGAGGAAAGATAACATTAAGTTGAGAGCAAAGATTTAAGAAATACAAGCGTCCTCGTGCTTAAACGTTATAATAGTTCAGGGCGAAAGTGTGCTTTATTACACTATATACATGGTGGTAGAGCGAACTGTATTTCTTTTCTAAGATGCCAAATTTAATACTTTGTAAGGATAATTACGATTAATCTAAGGCAGAAAGCAAACGACGGTGTCGGCGACCTAAAATAAGAATCCTCGCACAGGGCTAACTGTCGCGCTGTTCTATTGATGTGTCTGCCCCCTACGTTAAGACGAACGTTACCAGAAAAAAACAAATGATAGACAGTTTGATGACGGTTTACGTTCGGATTAAATATCTTCACTAAATTATTCTAATTACGTCTGTGATTAAGGTAAACATATGGGGCAAGATGAACGTCGCATTTCTACCACCAACGTAAGTTTAGATCAGTACATCCAGATGAAGCTGAGTAGTCAAGATACATTCCACGATTGCATTGTGGGAATGTAAACATTGCGAACGTTACCGTGTCGCTGGAAACTTGTGAGTCGAATTGAGACATTTTAAGCGTCGGAAAACATAAACGTAATGAATCCACCAGTGACGTTAGCTGCGTAAAGCAACTGCAAACCAAGAAACGGGATGCAACGGAGTAGTTTACTGTAGGAGGCTGTACGAGGCGATGACAACTGACATGCATCGTGACGTTGCTTACATTGTGACGGAATGCAAAATTGTTCGATTACGAGGGTTGCAGACTAGAATGGCGCAGTGACAGGATAACGTCTTTCATCAAAAAACTATACCTTTATTATGTCTTTCAGTGGCATTTAGAAGTTGTACATTGATATCCAAAATATTTTTATGGATTAAACTTCTTTGTAATTGTAATCACCTTTATTGTCTGATAATGTATTTTTTCCGATTGTTCTAACCGCTAGGCATCTTAGAACTGTGGATATACAAAGATTATAGATAATGATTGTACACCTCGGCGTCGTTTACGGCTCTTGTTTCTATTTACGTGACGTGTTTGTTAGAAGTTGTACTCACGTGGTGAATATATATGTCATGATCAGGTGAACAATGGTGGGCGTTGATAGATCTCGGTTTGTGTCTATAATTCTTAGAATTGACGATATGAAACATAGGTGCATTTCCGCGAACACTGAGTAACCTTGACTCAGTCTCGGTTGAAGATAATCATTCGTGATTCACAGAATTCTCAGAAAATCTATTTTTAGAATTACGGTAGCAGTGCCGTTTCGTGGAATTGAGTTTCTTTACTGTCTTTACGTGTTATGTAAGCAAACAAAACATCCATGTATTCCCTGAAAACGTTGATCAGCTTTCCAGTCGCGTTATCAGATATGGATTTGTTGTAAATGAATGACGGACAGTTCCTGGAAGAGGTCAGCTGCACAAGGTTGTTGCGCAACACATGCAAATACATAGCAGCATGTCTATTCAAGACTGGTTGAGTGTCAGAAATTTACCATGCGTGGAGTATAATGAGTTTGTCAATACAAGCTCAGTACTAGGTCACCGTGACCTAGCATTGCTTTGTTATTGTAATAGAGGTAGCTTACAGGGGCATTGCAGATACTATTTCCTGGTAGATTTGTTGACGTGTTCTGTTACACTTGGTTACTGTTGCCAGAGTGTCTACTTCAATAATCAAATAAATTAAATACAGTTGGCAGCCTCAAATAGATTTTTCAGCTGTTTAGTGAGTAAGAGCATGTCCCTCAGTTTTTTCAGATTTTGTTTTTCTGAGTATAATTTTACTTACTAGTATTTCTTTTACAAACCTTAATCACACATCAGCCTGTTGGGGTTGTATCTGCTTTGTTTGTTACCTGTCATCAACACTCTTCAGTGTGGTTCATTTCAAAGGATATCAAGAACTATCACCAGCAGTATGGTACTTGTCGAAATTCATCAAGAACTTTCACTCTGCATATTGTATGTTTCATTTCAGTAGATGAAATCAGGAACATTTTAATTATAATATATTTTTGGATGCATTTCATAGGCTTTGGTGCTGTTTGTAGTTTTGAATGTTTCATGCTTACCTTCATAATGCAAACATGATTATAATCGTTTAGTGCCATTTGTACTTAAATAAGTGGATGTGTGAAATCTGAATATGTTTTAGACCTAAAGAATTACTACCACTCTGTGCCTTCAGCGCTTTTGTCAGAAGAGACAGAATTACAAATAAACAAAGTTGAAAATACATCAATTAATTTATTTGAAAATGAAGTAATTGTATTGTTTTGTTTGTTACGCAATTTATCAAAGTGTAACAATTAGAATGTAATCCCTGCACCATCACCCATTTGTTTTCCAGACCATCACTGAAGTGAAGATGGAAAGTGAAGATCGTGATGACAGCCTGCCCAGAATCGTCTCTGTCACCTCCATCCCCAATTTTGACCAACTGTTGAATGAAAGCGATGGTAAGAAACATTTTGGTGGACATGTAATACTTAACAGAGAAAGATGCATTGTTAGGTTACAATAGTATATGTATGATATTATTGATGATAGGGCTCCCATTTTGATAATTGTTACTATGTTGTCCGGCTGGCCATAACTCTGATCATCCATCTTTTTCAGTGGCCCAGTAAGCAAAGGAAAACTTAAATGGAACTTATTTATTTTTGTCCGAGGTTAGCCAAACTGATAACATTATCCAAAATGTTATCTGGGTGGTGGGGTAGCCTGGTGGTTAAAGCTCTCTGGTCACGTGGGTTGGATTCCCCACATGGGTACAATATGTGAAGCCCATATCTGGTGTCTGCCACCATGATATTCCTGGAATAATATAAATACACTCACTCACACACCCAAATATTATCTAATCTGAATCAATGAATATGAAATTGAATTATTTGTAAAGAATTACTTTATATTTGATGCGCATGACACATCTCCAAAAGATTGATACAAGCATTTGAGTTAATTTGTAGATTAGAGAATATTCAGTCTTGTTTCTCTCTTTGTAGATGAGAAATGATGGGTGTTGACTTGTGCCCTCTTCATTCTAGCCACCCCACAAAAGGAGACCCGGTCCACCAGCCATATGTCAGGTGGGAGGGTGTTTCAGATCCAAGACATCCCCTCACCCCCCAGCCCTCAGGCTCGCAGCGTATCACCCCACAGTCTTGAGGGTGAGTATGTCAAAAAGACAGTGATAAGATCTATACATTAAAGAAATACTGTTTATTAATTTGTGAACTAATATTGTTATGTGTGGTAACCCTGGGAATTTCATTTACCTTAAAACAACTAAAACATCCTTGTCGACCATATTTTGTTTGATCTTTTACCCACCAAAAAACATGTATCTAACAAACAAATTTTAATGGCTTTGATAAATACCAATATTTTTTAGTAACTTGATCCTCTAGTAAAATTGATGTTTAAACATTGTACAAATTGCAATCAGTGTGAAATATTTAGCATTCCTTTGTAACGTATGAGCAGCCTGATCTCTGTTTGACAAAAACACATTCTGTGCTCATGTGGATCTGCTCAGGTGCTGTTTGAAAACTCAGCTGACTGCCCTGACTGGTCTACTGATTGTAAGATATCCCTGACATGTAACTTGAGACACTTCCCAAGTTAGACAATAAGCCTGAGGTGCAAAAGTTACAGTCCTTCAAAATGGGTCATTGTTTAAAGTGCTACTTGCAGACACAGCCCAGACATTTTATTACCTGAAATCAGTGATGAAGTTGCTCTACACTATATCTCACTATATATAAATGTGGTTGAAAAATAGTAGATTGAAAGTGTAACCTATTAACTGCATTATGTAACCCTGTGTGTTTGTACTGATTGTTACATGGTGCAACTGGGTATGGCCAGACAGAGAAACTATTTACCAAGTTTTGACTAGGAACTATTTACCATGTTTTGACTAGAATAGTCTGAGACTTATGTGTGGGTGTTTGGTGGTTCAGGGTGTTTTATCAGTAAGAGTTCCGTCCGTAACTCCCGCTTGAAATGTATTCTATTTATTATGATTATTTCAAGGAGTTAAGGTTAGATTTAGAGATTAGGGTTGGTTTTATGTTTAGGGTTAGGTTTAGGCTTTTTATAAAAGCCATATGCCTGTATTCTTAGGCATAGAATGATTTTAAAAACATACGGGTTACGGACAGAAGTCTTTCTGCACTTCAAAACAGAAGGATGATGTCACAATGCCTGGCAAACACATTAGTGCACAGCAAAGATGTATAAATAACAATTGACAATGCATAACTGTGTGAAACTTCATCTGTTCTGTTAAATGTGTACAAGGAAAAATGTATTACTATTAGAAGGATAACTGTTATTGGTGTAGTGTAAGATTCAGGTCACTGTTTTATTTCTGTATAGTGTCTCTCTTGTGTGTAATGGTAAAGTGTGTCTCCTGTGGCTGTAATGCAGGTATGTTTGTTACAGGTAGCTCAGACTCGGAAGGCAGCCACTATTCTGATGAGGAGGTTGTTGAGGTGAGAGGCTGATGAGATTTCACTTCATTGTTTACACATGCTATTGCTATGTGCAATCTCTACAATGCACATGTATGCTTTTTTGAAAAAAATAAAATCTCAATCATTTGTTTGAAACACATCTCTCAAACCACCTAGGGCCTTTTTTTAGTTACTTTGTTTACAGATTTAAAATTTTTTTTTTATTAGGTCGGTAGGGAAGGAAAAAAAAAGAAGGAATATGGACATGAGTAGATCATATATGCCAGGTGCAGCATGCCAGATGAGCAGCCTGTGGCATTAGCTTTCTCTCTGTTCCACAGGTAAAATGAATAAAACAAGAGAATAAAATATTTGAAAGGTATAATTTGCAATCTTTTATTTTTCATTTTTTTTTCATTTTCTACACATTGTGGGTCGGCGGATCCATAAAACCAAGTAATATAAAAAGGCCTGGTTCTATTTGACGATTTAAATTCTACAGTTGAGTGGATGACAGTGAAACATATAAAATCTGGAATATATGTCGCTTCGTCAGTTGCTTGGTCCCAATTGTAACAGATTTCTGTAAACATTTCAAGATAGAAATTTAACATTTCCCAACCAGTAATAATCTGTTAAAGTTTGTAGACTCATAGTTCACTGACAAAAAAGAGCAGTAATGGTATGTTTTCTTTTGCTAAGGTTTACATCACTGCACTGAATTTCAAAACATCTAAAAAAATCAAAATCTTCAAGAAAATACTGAATTTCTTCCAGTATGCCTGTGCAAGGTCACTTAGTTGAAATTGTAGATTAATCCCTAAGACTCTGGTGTCTTAAGACTTTCGTACTCAAAATACCCCTTGGTAGAAAAATTGGTGAAATTTGAATTAAAAAAATAGATTTCTGCATTCAAGCTCAAACCTTCCACCCAAGGCAGTCATCAGTCACTTTCAAAATATACATTTCCCATCTAAGGTCAATAGTTAAGATCAAGTCATAATGACCTTGACCAAAATACATTGTCCTTGACATTCATATTGACCTTGACCTTACAGCTGGTGAACACCTGGGAACTGGAGACCTGTCATCCTAGGCTGTGGAGCGACATGACAGATCTGACAGACAGCATTGGATGTGAAAGTATGTTGCTTCATCACGCAAGATATCTGGATAGTTGCACAACACTTCCAACATGAAATGAAGGTCAAATAGAAACACTGTACCATGGTAGAAAATATCATAAGTACCACATGCTGTTCAGTCACTGGCATGAGCATGGATGACGATAGGTATCAACCAATAGACAAGAAGTATTGCTGAGAACTCTATTGTTGTGATGAACCAATATCATCTGGGTAGTATTTGTGTAATTTGGGTTAAGAGCTAGTCATACCTTAATATTCTGCAGGGCTCCAGATAATTTTTCAACATCAGGAGTACGTACTCCTTATGTTTTCAATATAGGAGTACTGGAAAAACTTAAGAGTACTTTTAGAGTACTGAATGGAATTCAATGGTGTATCAGTAATCTTGTGTTTTGTTTCATATATGCACCACAACATTGCTACTCTTGTGTAAACAGGTCAATAAACAATAAAACAATACTTTTTCATGTATATATGTATGTCAATGATTTTAAGACCGTACACCATTGCTGTGGTGCGTATCTGCTACGTTTTCTAAATTATTTCCTACCGAATCGTGCATATTTTTTATCAGTACATACCCCGATATGGCCCTTATCTGGAGCCCTGTTCTGGACTTTGGATTTGTGTTTAAGGCCAAACATTTTACAGTGCTTCAACACATACACTTTGTTCCACAGATATGAGCAGCAAAACAATTTTTCTTTGCTTTTCACACTTCTTCATTGTATGTTCAGCATAACCAATGAATAATTTTTTGGGGTGGTAAAACCAGACAAATTATTTATCCCCATCATCTCCATAAGTAGACAATATCCTCCTCCACGGTTCTCTCCCCAGAATGGTCAGAAATAAGCCTTAATGGTACAATGTCAGGTATATTTGGGTAATAATATTTTGCGAAAAGGCTATTTAAGTGAGATTAAAGAGTGGTTAAAGAGGTTGCTAGTCATGCATAAGACCCATGTTCACTTTCCAGTTCACATGATATCATGTTATAAGCACATTTCTGTTATACCCAGCTGTGATTATGCTGGAATATTGGTAAAAGCAGTGTAAAAACGTATTAACATATTCACTCTAGGGTAAATACTGAATTGTAAGAAATTACTTTGCATAAATCATTCCTATCTAAATAGCCTTTCTTTGTATTTTCAGTTGAATGTGAAACAGAAGAGGTGAGATCTGTTATCCGATTTGATCATCGTGAATACTGGGTAAGATTGTGTATAACTGTCAGCTAATCAGTGAATACGTCACATAATCACCAGGCCACAATGGTGCATGCTCAGTCTTTTATTCAATGGCAACAGTTTGTCTCCCTTGTGTAAGATGAAATATGTATACCGATTAGGTTAACAATTCTCGAACACTTTGTTTGTTTGTTGTTTTACACAGCATTCAGCAAATTTCCAGCTGCATGTAAAATAATGGACTTTTGTTTAGACAATTTACATATGATCAAGTCAGCGACCGTGACCATTTGAACATTTCAATATTGTCCAAAGAGCTGCAGTTATTTACAAGGAAACATCAGTTTGAAATCTGTTTTGGTTTAAGTTTTTCATGACCCAGGCAGGAACTGATATTGCGATGAGCCTTTGCATTTGAGATAGCTTTCCTAACAACCAGGATAAGTATTAGTACAATGGAGACAAATTGATTTCTTGTGTTTCTATGACTACTGTTTGAATATTTTTGTCTCAGTTCAGATCTTACTTATCAAAATTGTTGTATTTTAGGATTTGTCAACTCCGATGGAGTGATTGCGAGGCTTGTCCACAAGGCACGGGGACTTAAAGAAGTACAGAAGTAATATGTCTGACCAAAACAATGTGAGAAAGACAGTGACGGCCACTCACATCTGCTGAACATTCCAGCCCGGCTGTCAGACACAGGGGCAAGACAGAATTGGTAAATCCCAGAGTCTCCATCTCTGTTCTTACAGGATGATCCTGCGACAAAGACAAGATGAAGTGTCTTGTATGAAGGAAGACACCATTAAAAAAACTAAAAACGTTGTGGAGGAGGATTGAATGCTGGCCATACTGAAATTCTTCATCTATGAGATTCCATTTGACCTGTGATGACAAAAAAATGTGTGCAATCATGATATTTTTATATCCAAAATTCTACTGTTACTTGACATACTGCTATTATCTATATCACCTAATGATATCTGCATTTCAGTGTGCAATGTACTTGTACAGAAATAAAAATGACATGCTATAATAAACAAACTGATAATTCAAGTAGCACAGATGCTATCTACCTGTCGTAGTGATTTGATAAACTGACATATGATTAGGACCAGCAACTTTCCGGGAACTGTGCCTGATATGGAGGACAGAGGGTTGGGTGGAAATAATGCTTGCATCCTTAAAAGTTGGCTACCGGAAAGCGCCTTTCTCCTCACAAAATTAAACAACCATTTTGACCCTATAATTCTACACAGATTTAAGTATCAGATTTGATTTTTTGGCTAACAGATCTTAATGTTTGAAATGTTCAAAAGGTGAAACAAATATCTTGCTGTAAATGGTATTGAAGGGAAGTTTCTTTGGTCAGCAGACAGGTTTGCATTCATCATAACAAAAAATAATGTTAGTGGGTTGGCAGGTTCAATTACTCTTCAAAACGTATTGTGTACAACCAGAAAACAAGCCATACCTTTAAGAAGTCACTTTAGAAGTGTTTATTTGATATTTAAGAATATTCCAAAAGCAATACCTCTTAATACATTTAATTTACCTTTATTTAAATTTATTTAGCATCAGTTTCAAATGCTAACTTACATGCTCATGTCATGAATTGTGTAAGAATGTGTGTAAGTTCTCATGAATGATATTGACTTTGATTCAGTCCTGAAAGTGTGGAACATGTAGAAGGCTGGACGAACACTAGTTTCTGAAATGAACATATATTGCAGAAAAAAATGGTTCCTAAAGTATCATCATAAAATATAATAAAAGGAGCTCACACTTTCATTTGTAGAAACTGTGGTAATCTAGACTTGCCACATATTCTAGACTTGCATGGGGCAATATTTGTTTCAGGGTCTGTATGACAGACCACTGTTATAATCTAGACTTCCATGGGCTGTCTTGGGTGTACTTGTTTTGGTCTGTATAAAAGACTAGTAGAAGGCAAAATACTCGTTATCACTGTGGGACAAGCATGGTGGATCCCCCTGGGCTGTCAAAGGCTTATAAATCGGGGGAATGTGATGTATATAGCTGTCAACATGGGAAAAGGTGATATGTACATAAATTGAACAGTGTTCGAAAGTTGACCTGTGTTGTACACACCGGTGACAAGAAACCAGCATGGGTTAGGTAATTTGTGATATGTATGTTTTCTTACCTTACATCGCACCCAAGAGGAAGAATTTGTCCTTGGTAGCTTTTAGTCCTATTTGACATTCCTCCTTTAAATGTGATTTGGAGAAAACCCAACATTTGTGTTTGTTTTAGTAGATAAGTTGTACCGTATATTACCGTCTATAAGACGACCCCCAAACTTTACCCTTAAAATCAGTGTCAAAATGGTAGATCATTTCCAATTCTTTGAATTTGATTCAGCAAGGCAAGGTGAGGTGAAGTTCACAACAGGCTGCAAACGTGTCAGTCAGGTTCAAAATTCAATGGTCAATCATAGCTATGTTCTCTTTTTGGAGCTTTTATTATCATTTATCACTATATTAAGCATTTAGCTATTCACTTATAAGTTAAAAAATAACAAAAAAATTAAGTTGACTTACAGGGGGTAATCATACGTTTGATGGGAGACTGACTTGTTGAGTTAAACTCCTGCAGTCATACACAATGTAGGTTTCATTTTAGATAATTTTTAATTCAACAATACATCCAAGAGGTCTTCATTTAAACATTCAAATTAAAAGGCTGACTGACAGTAGAATTTGGCAGGTTTTGAAAAAAATCCAGCAATCTGTCCCAGGTCCTAAATGGTCTGGGAGACAATATGACAGACAATACCATGGCTCACATGGGAAATCTATCATAAACTTTTCATCTTGGTGACACGAAAATGCTCATAAAAGTTAAAAGGTTAAAAAGGTTTAAAAAAAAGAAAAAGAAAGGGATGGCATCTGATGCAGTGATTAATTAATTAGTGAATGTACTGGTTGTGATTTGAAAAAGGGAACGCATGAAATGCCCCTACAGAAATCTTAGGCATTTTAAAACATCTTGTTGGAGGTGATGGTTGAATTTACAAAAAATTGCTTTCTATGAAATTGTTAAAGAATTGAAGTACATGTATTTACAAAAAGAAAGGAAGAGTTTTGGGTGAAAATTGATATTATTTACAGAAATATAGCAATATTGTTATATCTGAAATGCTCCAAAACGTGTTTACCTGTGTAATTTCCATATAGAGTTTGCAGTTCTTATGCTGACAGTTAAGTCATCCAACAAGATCTGTTGAAAGCTTCGTTTATTTAAAAAATATTACAGGTCTGTGTCCACTTGCTCAAAACCCCTTTTCTATAACTAAATGCTATTTGATATTATTGACCATATAAATTGTATATGGTCAAGGTATCTTTTGAAATTTATTCTGAAATAATTTATGGCGATGTTTTACATTGTAAAAGGTTTTATATTAACTATTTATTCAGTATATACAGCTGAAAACCACGGAATTTCCTCATATTGCTATTGTAAATCGATCATGACATCACCCACTTACTATAATAAAGAATCAAGTGAGGTTTAACTTTTTTTAGTGGTATATATTTGACGTTCTAAGAGACCAAACCATTCTTGAATTAAGTACCAGTGAGGATGTTAGCGACTGCTCATGATTAGTCAGATAGACTTAATACTAATTCTGTACAGTCATAAAACAATAGTTTCCTTTCTAAGGCCAGACCAGTTTTATTTCTTGTTTACGGATCCGCAGGTCATATTTTTTCAAGAAAAAGAAAGAAAAAAAATTTCCCCGCTCCAAAAATAAAAGTCCTCATGTTGTTCTTGTCCAAAAATGTAAACTTAAAAAAATAGAATTTTTAAATTGTTTTTTGCCCCATATAAACTTCATAAATTGCCAAAAATAAAATACTTTTAGTATTTAAAAGGAAAAATGTTTTTTGACTAGTGAGTTATATTTTTTTCCCTCCTGCCTTTAGGTTTTCTGAGGACAAAAATCCGTAAAACAAGAAAGAAAATTGGTCTGGCCTAAACTGTCCAAACATGGTCATCAGTTTTCTATAACATATTAGCTTCTGGTCTGAATGTTTCATATCTATGTTGTAATAATAATCCATGGAGAGAAGAGTACAGCCCCCCCAAAAGTTCAACATTATATTTTCATGTACATTTGAGTATTATTCATGTATTATTCATGTAATAAATATTGATAATAACATTGAATATGTTGTGAATAGTAAATTTATCCAAGATGCCAAGAAGAAAAAACATGCTGAACAGAATCTTCTCAAAGTGCATCTGTACCTCTCGCAGTATATATTTCTCAAGGTGTACCTGTCTCCCAGGAAGTAGTTATATCTCACAAGATATCAAATTTCTCATGGTGCATGGATATTTTACAAGGCGTAGCCGAGTCTCATTATCTCTTAAAGTGTATATACCGTATTTCCTCCGTTAGGCACCCAGGCTTCTACAAGTTTTACCCAATCAGTTGACCAGTTGCCTGTGTTTATTGCTGGCAGAGGAAATTCAGTCTTACCCAATCTCATTCCACAGACAACAAACATCCACAAGAAAAGGTCATTATGAAGAAAAGGTTACAGTTAATGGGATGAGGATTATCAATTTTATCAAATGATGTACCTAGTTTATGTTTTTGTGACAGAATAACCCAGTTTCAGATAAACCCCAAGATGTACAGGTTTCTTTACGAAGATAAGATTTTAATCCCATGCAACAACAGGATTTACTTGTGTAATGCAATACAGATTTGTTGATACTCTATTTCTGATGACTGACTTCTGATTAGCTTATCTACTGTAATATACGGTATTGAATACCATGCATGTAAAAGGAAGAGACATGGTAAAACCCTCAGATAATGGGAAAAGGGTCAGAGGATCATTGAAGACATCCCCATAGAACATTAAGACATCATTTTGAATTAGAATAAACATGTTTTATTTCAGTTCATACTAAATCCCTGATGCTGCAATACATCCAACAATTCAGTTGCTAGGTCCCAATGTAGCACAAACAAGAACTTACATCATACAGAGCTGATAAACTGGCGAAATAAACATGTGGTAGCACACGGTCCTGTGTACAATGTACAGCTCACAAATCAGGTGACGTCTTTTGTATTGAGTGAGTGAGTGAGTTTAGTTTTACACCGCTTTAGCAATATCCCAGGAATATCATGGCAGGGGACACCAGAAATGGGCTTCACACATTGAACCCATGTGGGGAATCGAACCCAGTCTTCAGCATGACAAGTGAACACTTTAACCACCAGGCTACCCAACAACCACCAGTTTTTGTAAGAACCATTATCAAGGAAACAAAAACATATGTCCTGAATCATATTTACAATTTTATTTTCTTCATACATATACACTATGTATATAACATTGCACTAAGAATATTTCATAACAATTGACTGAAAACAAATGCAGAAACAACCCTGACAACACAATAACATGACAAGACAAAAACTGTACATGAGTAAACATTAATGAAAGATTATGGTCATTCAAATTTTATTTTCTTGCCCTGTGGCGAATCAAATGATATACTCTGTTTGCGTTTAAATCCCCCGTCAAATCCTCCTCGTCCCCTGTCACCTCCACGCCCTCTCCCCCCAAAACCACCCCTTCCCCGGAAGTCACCTCTCCCCCTTCCTCTTCTGTCTCCCCCACGGAAGCCCCCGCCAAAGCCGCCTCCACGGTTACCACCTCGGAAGCCTCCACCTCCTCTGCCTCCACCGAAGCTGGACTGAGGTAGAAGTTTCGGTACTTCTGTGGCCTTGACCAATGTATCGTACTTGCCATCGGTCCAGTTTGCCTCAATCGTGTCCTCCAACTCTGACGGCATATCAAACGCACAGCCCTAGAACACAAAAGACACATTGTTGAACTGTGTTTGTTGTTTAACACTACACGATACATGTAGCGGAAGCTATGTATAACATTAAGCAAGGCTAGGAAGGGAGGTAACTCTCGACTGAATGGTAAGTAAACATGTGAATGCCGCCACCTTGTTCTGTCTTATTTAGGAGAGCTCAAAAGGACAACGTTAACAATATTCACAACAGAACTTGGCTATATTCAAGTTTTATGACTGAGTGAGCGAGTATGGTTTTACGCTGTGGGGACACCAGAAATGGGCTTCACACATTGTACCCATGTGGGGAATCAAAGGTGCGATGAGCGAATGCTTTAACCACTAGGCTACCCCACTGTTCCTTCAAGTTTTATGACTGAGTGAGCGAGTATGGTGGGGGACACCAGAAATGGGCTTCACACATTGTACCCATGTGGGGAATCAAAGGCGCGATGAGCGAATGCTTTAACCACTAGGCTACCCCACTGTTCCTTCAAGTTTTATGACTGTGGACAGTAAATACTTGAGTCCGGGCCTGACAATTCAGTAACTGATAATGTGAACAATCGACACTCTCAGGGAACAATCATTAATCAAGTCCAGCTGACCACCTGAGCCACTTTGCCACCTCTTTAAACCAGCAGAGATTGGTGGGGTTATATTAAAACCCAGAATCCAGATGAGAACATATTCAAACCCGAAATGTAGATAAGTTAGTGAGTGAGTTTTATGCTTTTAGCAGTATGTCAGAATAACATTGTGGGAGACACAAGATATGGGCTTCTCACATTGTACCCACATGGGTGAATGAAACATGGGTCTTCAATGGCACGGGCAAAGACTTTAACAACTAGGCTACCCCATCTCCCCTTACCCATAAACATGGTGCTTACAAACCTACAGAGTCGAAGTGAATTTCAAACCCACAATTACAATTATCTGGTGTGCCAAAGGGTTGCACAATGAACATCGAAGAGTGACCCTCTCTCTGACACCAATTCTACCTTGACTCACCACAGGTGTACACAGACTAAACGGAACCCACCATTTTGTCCTCGAGCATCCTCATCCCGGTGGCCCTCTCCTTCTCCTCCTCTCCAAGGAACTTCTCCAGGGCCCTCCACACGTACCCCGTGCCCCTCAGCTCCATGTTGGTCCTGAACACGTATGTCGTGAAGCCCTGCAACAAACAACCGCCAGATACAATCCCATTGTCTTTCTTGGGCCTTTACAAGTTGGTTCTAAATGGTTTATTATAATGTTTTACAGATTAAAGATAGTATGAAGCAGAGAGTGTTCGGGTGATCCTGGCAGTCAGACTGGTAAGGCTCATCATCAGGTCAGGGCCCTTGCCCCCTCAACACGCAGACCAGACAGCAAATGGGACTTCTCCCAGGAAATGCTGAATAGTCAAACCCACCAAGAACTTTCAGGAGAATATGTAGGCTACCCAAAACTGCAGCCTTCTGCATTACTATTATTATTATTATTACAAAATGGGGCAGTTAATCAGGCATTGTTTTCATACCCATTGCCATTGTTTACAAATTTCATATTCTAGAGTTAATTACCTTTGTGATTCTGTGTGTCAGTACTACTCAAGTACCAGGAATTGATATATGTATATTGGCTTTCAATAGCTTGCATAACAAAAATATTCCTAATATATTTTGTTGTCATTATTCAAATCATTAATCATGCCGAACTTTCCATAACTGGACAAAAGGTTCTACAAGTTTTATAAAGAAAACATTGTATTATAACTGATAATCTGAACACACAAAGGATTGGTTTAAGTTAACAGCAAAACAATATAGACACACTTATCTCAAGAACAATATATATTTATAGTCCACTTAGTTTCTGGCAAAGAGCCCATGTAAACATCACAAACATCACATGTTATCAACCGTACCAATGTAAAAAACCCAGATAACATGAAATTGAAAGCTATAATTTCAGTTATACCATGGCTGACTACTGAAAGCTAACATTCCAGTTATACCATGGCTGACTACTGAAACTCCAGGGATATACAGCTTGCCAATATTGGTATACACATTGAATACTTAAGAACACAATACACCACCTTGCAAACAAGGTCAGTGGATCACCAACCAGGAAGTTCAACAAGTGACCTTCACCTTTTAGGAAGGTGATACGTGTATCAAACGTCATGATTGGCTAAGGGAGTACAAAGGTCTGCCTGGCATGATAAAATACGTGATGTTTCAGCCCTACTTGTATTAGTAATCTTGTCACAGGAAATTATCAATTCAATCCAACGTCCATGTGACACTGTCCTTAATCGTTAAGTGCTTTTCAATTTAGAACATCAAGGTAACTTCCATTCTCATTTCACGTGTTACAGCATCTAAGTGGCTGCATAATTCAGAAGATAGGAATAAATAAGATCCATTCACAAAGCATGTATACAATCCCAGACTCAGGAAGCTGTATTGGGAAATGTCTGTCCCAAACTATACATGACCTCAATGGCAGTATGGTTTCTGTCCAATACAGCCCCAAGGAAGAATTTCACATGGTACCAATGATGGATGTGTTTGGACAATACACTGTGCAGGATAAACAATACTGCAAATATTCTTTGCACAATCGAATGTGGGACAATTATTGTGATAATGTGCGCCTGATTGTCTTTTGGTTTTAAGAAAAGATGAAGGACAGAAAGGTGATGGGCACAAGGCCAAGACAATAGTTCATGTCGAGTTGCAGCACTCGACCAGTATCTTTCTTATTCTAAGATGGGTTTTCAATCTAGATTTCTTAACTGATCAGTTGAAGTGAAACAAGCCTCATGGAGAGGTGACATATCTCTCAGACTGAAGCAAGTCAGGAATGGAGTCGGCTACTTATGTCCCATGTTTGGTTCATTGTCCTTGGATACCTTCAGTTCAGTTCAGTGAAGGTGAGGTGAGGTGAAATTGGGTTCAACGTCGTGCTTGAGAATATTTCGCTCATATGACGACGTGCATGCGTGTGTATGTGTATGTGCGGCTGCTTGTACTAGCCCAGACTTTAGTACTGGTTTTATAGTGCTAGCCCACTGAGATACCATGCCGCAGTGAAGCATGAATACCCCACTCAGACACATTATACTGACTCAGAGCCGACCAGTCCTTGTTGTATCCATAATTGCCGAGTGCCAGGCAGGGACCAACAAGTACCATATTTTAACGTCTTTTGGTATGACGCGGTCGGGGATCGAACCGCAACCTTCCGCTCTCCTGGCGGACGCTCTAACCACTACACCACGGAGGCGGTCAGGGCTGTCAAGTATTGTTCAGTATCGAAAATTAAGTACGAGTTTTCCAGTAGATTGATCTGTATCGAAAAGAAATACACAAAAGTTTAAGAGTTCTGCTCTGGCAACAGAAACTGGCAGGCAGACAGACATGCTGAACCCTGTATTCGATTTTTCAAAACAGACAGACAAATAAATACCAATATGTAGAGAGTAAGAGTCCTATTTGTTGCCATGGAAATAGAAAAAATAAATATTCTAAAATTCCTGAAATAGCAAAGGTCTCCTGTTGACAACCTAGTCTTTGTGAGTACAGTTTCAAAACAGTATCTATTAATGTTTAGAGATGTGGTGCGGACAATCACATTTCTACAAACAGAAAAAAAGTCAACTTGTTTGCCATGGAAACAGAAAATGTACCACTTCAGATTAATAACTGCCCAAATTTTGTTTGAGAAATATTGACAAGTTTTGCAATGAAGAGTGAGTGAGTGAGTTGGGTTTTACATCACTAGCAATATTCCAGCAATGTCACAGTGGCAGATCAAAAATGGGCTTCACACATTGTACCCACACATTGTGGGGATTCAAACCCACACAAATGCTTTAACCTCTACCCCACCATCCAATACAATGAAGAAGCAAATTTCAACCTATGATCAAGTGATAAACAGCACAATAATCAGCTTGTCAATGGAGAGTTGGTAACAGACATGCCAACGATAACAGATACTTCACTCTTGACAGGGTAAAATACAATAATCCTGATACACCAAATCTGATATATGTGTATATATGTACATCTGACATACCCAATCATACCTACCACAAGCATAATATTATCTCCAAATGAGGAGCCAGTGAGTGAGTTTAGTTTACACCGCTTTTAGCAAAATATTCCAGAAGTATCACGGCGGGGGACACCAGAAATGGGCTTTAATCACTGTGCTACCTCACCGTCCCACCCAATCTTGGATTATTGCCTTTGTATATCAGTTCAGTGAAGAGAAGACATAGTGCAGTCATACCATCAAGTTTATTATGAGATCTGACCCGGGGAACTCAGCACAAACCTGTTTTCCAGTGAGTTCACTTTATCAATGGACAAAAATCCTAAAGCATCAAAAGGCATGGTTTTAACACCAGACTATAGGAAGGTTAAAAGCAATATTTAACAGTCTGAGTTCTGCCTAAGACAGCAGACAGGTGGACATGATCAATGATCCTCCCTCCCCTAATTTCCCATGAAAAAAACCAAACCACCCCCACCCCACCCCCTAAAATGCTCAGTGTTACCATACCAATGAGCCATGACAGATTAATTACAGCAACATGTTAAAAACTTGGTGTACTTGAACTTCTTTGTAAGGCGACATATCGCCTGCACAACTGTACCTCATTCCTGGAATCATAGCAGCACATAGGCAGGTAGGGTTTTCCTCTTTTCTAGGAATAGAAAAATGGCGAAAAAGAGGCTGTGTGCAATGTGTGGGCGTACCGCTTTGCTGGTGGGTAGTGTGTACATTTTGTCAAACTTGGAGTATGTTAATATGGACTTTCCCCAGCCGATGTGTCAAGGGGAGAAAGCAATGGATGTTTCTGGACTGATAAATATAAGGCTGTTATTGATCAAGTATTGACACATCAATGAATATATAACTAATTATACATCAGCTGTTGACAGATATAATATAGACAAGTATTTCGAGTATAATAAGCAGACAGAACACTAGTGACTACACTGTATCCCTTCAGTGAATTCAGATATTACTGAACATGTAAATAATTCCTGTTCTGTTCAGCATTGTTACATATGCAGAGATAAAGATTAGCGGGTGTTACCAATATTGCAATCAGCTAATCAGTGTATGTTTCCTCCCAATCTACTGATGATTCAGTTAAAATACACCTCACAAAAACTTCAAATGATTGGAAACGTTACACGGTAGTTTTTGCAAGAATTGATACATTCCAGTATTGCTGTGTTCTTGTAGATACTTAAAATATCAACAGTATACACAGCACTTGGGCATAGCTGACCATATTTTCACATTAATAACTATTAATATATACCTCATAAAGAAATGAAACTGTGGGCCCTGTCTTCATTGCAAAAGAATATCCCCCAAAATGATCAAGACCCCTAACCTTTTGGTTTTGGGTCCTCATGTGCGAAACATTCACAGTGTCACAACCTATTGTTACCATACAGTTCATCACAGGCTTATTGATAGCCAACAGTTAATAAGTACTGTTTTTCCTCTAATAAGCGCCGGGGGGTAAAGCATCTCGCTAACAATTACTGTAATTACACCCAGTAAGTGCAAAAGCACCGGGTCTGGTAGTCCGTTGAAAAAATAAGCGCCCAAGCTCTTATTAGAGGAAATACGTTATTTCTAAATATGTGTGCATGCATTGTTCATTCAAACTCATGCCAGTGTTGCTGGGGACATCCAGTCACAGATAAAACAACTCACATATAACATGAATGCCTACTGTCAACCACTTGAGATAATACCAGATGCTTCCGTATATACACATGCAAGTTTCTGTGTATACACATGCAAGTGAGTGTTCAAAATTAAGCATTAATGTCAAGGACCCCTGACATAACAGATAAAGATAACACATTGGCATTCATGCAACCTTCCCAGGTCCCTGGACTCATGTTAAACTCTGACACACCTTGTTATACAAGGAAATAGCCTGTAATTACTTCCAGCTATGAGCACTGCACACTACCAAATATGGAAGAGTCCTTTTAAATTCTACTACTGTAAGTTATTCATCAAAACAACCTCCTTCCCCTTACTACAAGTGTCTCTTGCCACCTACTGTAGACTATAATCAATGAACCCACACAATGCATAAGCCCAGCTAATTCACAGAAATAGCTTGCTTCCAAGTAAGGATAA